TACCATCTTGATAAAGGTAAAAAGCTGATATAGGAAGAAGAAGTGCTGAGAAATCTGTAATGACAGCAGGGATCATTAGCTTGTAAGTTATTTGAGAAATTATTCAGGGATTGCTGTTTGGACCCATCTTACTGGAAATTTTCCTTAATGACTGTCTTGCAAAACATGAAGAAACATTGTGATTAGTTCAAAGTTTACAGGCTCAGTCCACATGGGAAAAGATGTAACTCTGAGAACTGGAAGAAGGTATATATAAATTAAGCAGTACAGACTACAAAGTCATCTCTTTGGACAATAGCAAGAATTTCTGCTCTCAGTTGGTGATCAGTAGTTGAAAATTGCTGAGACAGCCAGGCAAGTGTGTGTAACTGGGTGTAACTGGTCCTAACGTAGATACAAGTCACTAAGAACACAGCGCTGTGAGAAGGGCAAGTGCTTTCACAGGGCAGATGTAAAGCAACATCCAGAAACACAAATTGTACTAGAGAGATGGATCCAGTTCAAGTCCAAGAAAGATTAAATAAATCTAAGAGAGGAGCAGAGAAGGACAACTAAAACACCCACAGGAAATAAGGCAGAACTACAGGGGCCTGGCATGTTTAGCCTCACAAAATGAAAGCCAAGGAGAGTACAATTACTGTACATGAATACTGTAGGAATCCTGAATGGCCATGCTGGCCCAAGACAATTAGGTTTAAATTTATCACAAATACATTTATGCATGAGAGAGAAAGACCTTCAGTTTCAGAAGATGGGGTATCTGACTCATCATACCCAATTGCTAGAGGCAGAAGGACCAAAAAGCTCTGAACCAAACACCACCACCACCAACAAAAAAACCCCACGATGTAATTTTTTTTGAGATGTTTCTAGGAAATAAGGAGCCCTATTGTATCTTCTGGCTCTGTCTCATATTCCTATTTTCTACGTTTGAGCCAGAGCACCCTGTGTGTACACAGAACTACAGTGTTCCTGGTACGGCTGAGTTTCTGGTCACTAGCCATGGTTATCCTTGGGACTTTTAAACTCCCTGGCAATTGCTGCAAGGAAAAGGCCATCATGAGATTTCTGAAGGTTGTCAGGGAAAACACAGATACTGGATGAACCAACATGGCATGATGCTGTCCTGGATGTGCTACTTAACAACAAGAAAGAACTGGCCAAGGCTGCGACAGTGAATAGGAGCCATGACTGTAATGATCCTGACACAGAGGAATTCAAGATCCTGGGGAGGGGTGGGAGGAGAGGAACATTGTCAGTACATTGTCACTACATTGTCTATGAACTACATGTCACTACATGAACTAAATTGTTAGAAATACCAAGATGGTTTCTGTAGTTTTCATACATTTATCGTATCATTCAATCCTTAGGGGTAGAGTAATAATGACAGCATCCCGGTACTCCTGAGGGCTGGAGGATACCCAGCTGTTGGCCCAAGCCCTGGCTGGGTGAGACATAGTACGTGGGCATAAGCAGCAAGGGATGCAAGGTCCCAAACCATTGCTCAGGGACGTCACCATGGGCCATACTCACGCACATGCGTCTGGGTTTACCACAGCGCCACTGTATTGTCTAGTGCTCCAAAGAAACCAGCTATTAAATAATGAAACTTTTCACAGCTAAAAAGATTTGTACATCTCCAAATAAGCTCTTTTGAAGCAGTGCCACTGCCCGCTCCGTCCCTCCATCTCTTCTCTTGTGCTCTGTGTCATTGTTTTGTGACAGCCATCGAGGCCTCAGCTGCATCTTCCCAGGGCCCAGTCAGGTTACTCTGGCCATGGCAGACATCCCCAGGCAGATTTGGCAAGAGGGTTCATTCAATAACACCTCCTGCTTCCCTGGGTGGCTGCAGGACAAAACCCCACAGGCTTTTCCAACACTCCAGCACTGTTCGCCATCTCTCTGGCCTCCCCTGCTTCCTCCCACAGGAGTTCCTCCCAAGGGCTGCATCATAGACAGCACTTGGCTCACTCTGAGGGACTGTCACCCCTATCCAGGGATGGCAGAACCAGGCAAGTGTGATCCTCTCTGCTTAGCGCCCATCAGCCTTCATCCAGGTACTATGTCCTCTTTGGGTTCACACACAGGAAATACACTGACAAACCAGAGGGGCCCAGGGCAGGTTGCTGGGACCTTGAGGCTGAAGTATGTGACCTGAAAGGATGGTCTGGGGTCTGGAACTGGTTCAGCATGCAGCAGAGAAGGGCTTTGGGCACCTCACAGTACACCCTGGTGCCTATAGGGATACAATTAACAGCATCAAGACAGGCTTTTCCCAGTGGTACCTGGCAAGAGGGTAAGTGATCACTGTCACATCAGCTGAAACAAGAGAGGTTCAGCATCAGGTTAGTAGAGGAAAAAAATGAGAATAATTCAGCTCTGTAGCAAGAGCCAGAGACGCTGTGGGTTTGTGCACTCAGTCAGCATACGAACTGTCATAAATGAAGCCAGTGTGATACTCCAGTCTGAACACAGGGCAACTATCCAAAATACTTGAGATACAAAATGTAAAAGATCCCAAGCACTGGCTGTCAAGGAGAACCACTATGAAACTACAAGACAAGAGTACACTGTAAAAAAGAAATAAAAACAATCCCCAGTTCTGCAACAGGTGGGAAGCAATTTGAAGAAAACCTGGAGAGTCAAACTCTGCTGTAACCTATTTTATGAAGCTGAAAGGGCTGAGCTAGAGGAAACACCAAGAACTTGTTCATTTAATTTAGTAGGACAAGGCCCTATATCGTGAGTTGCCCTAAGGTTCCCCAAACCACTCAGGAGGAAAAAAAAAATTCTTACCTTTTTTTTATCCTCATTCTATTTGCTCAATGTTCAAATAAATGGTCAGGAAAAACTTCAACCTTCCCAGTTCACAGCCTTTGGGGCTCATTCTCAGTTATGCCGAGGCTTCCACAAACCCTCACACCAGAGCTGAAGAGCTACCATGTAAATGAACCCTCCCCTCACCACAAACTGGGCAGAACTAATTCAGAGCAACCACAAAAATCAGAACGAGTAGTTACATTTAACAACTTCAGAGCAGAAATGAGTAGTGAAACTCCCACAACCCCTCAGCACAAGGTACTTTCATTTGCATGTGAAGCTCATTTACACATGCTTGACTGCTGAATGAAAAGTTTAAAAAAAATCCCTTGTATTTTATATGCAAAGTACAGAATTAGATCCAATATCAGGCAACAGTGAAAGTGAACAAGCAGCATACTGTAAGTTGCTGCCACCCATGCAAAAAAATAGCAAGAAGTATTTTATCTCTTTTATTCTTTTTAAAGTATCTCTTCACGCAATGCAAGCAAGTTATTCTGTGCTCCCAAGAATCTGGCTTCCTACTAGCAACAGTCAGCAGTTTGTTTTGGGTTGCAAAAACCCAAGAGGCTGTGGCTGTCCAGCAGCTGTGTATGAGACCTTGAGGTGGATGATGACAGAAGCAACATCAGCTGTGTGTGGAATACATGCACAGGTTCAAATACCAGCTGTGTGTGTAATATACACATAGGTTCATGCACACCCACAGGGAGAGGTGTCTCCCACTTTCCTTTCGTATTGCAATGCAGCCTTCTGGCCCCTTCCCCCCTATGCTGGTGGCAAGAACTGTCATGAAGCCAATCTTACCCTAATAAGTTAGAAGATAGATTTTACTACATTGACGAAGTGGCAGAGTAGAACTTGTCAAGGTATTGCAAAATACAAAGAAACCTGGGGTTTAAGTCTATTACAGCATTGAGTTAGCCTAAGATTAGTGTCCTCTTTTGCAAAAAGACAGCCTTGGTTACAAAGAAAATGCACTGGGAGATTCCACATCTACTATATAAGAGGTTGTAAAGAGCTGAGCAGGGATCAGGGATCAGCTTTAAGGGTTATTCGTAATAGGGCTCTCTCTTCATTGCCTAAGGAGTACTAAGGGAAACCGAGGTTAGTAACTCATTAAAGGTAAGGACTAACTATCGAAACCAGCATTGGCAGAACTGAAATGCTACGTTGCCCCATCCCCTGCACCAGTTTGTGTGATAAGCAAATGACATCCTGGGCTCTTTGTATCCATGGGATCAGAGTAGAAATGATAATGCAGAAAAGATGACAGAGACTTTAAGAAAAGCAGACAGCTTATAAATGCTAGTTAGAAAGCTTGGGGTTACTATGGCAGAGAACTAGTCTCAACTGTTGCAGTATGCGCACAATAATGCTTGTCATGACTTTGAAAAGACATTTTGCCTTCAACATGTTTTAGGTGAAACAGCATGCCGTTATCACCACCTTGGAGGAATGCTAACCTGGAGGGTTGCTTTGGTGACAGGTAGTCTTCCTTCTGTTGAGGCAGCTGAGGTCTCTGCACAGCAGTCAATGCTTCCCACAAGGGGCAGCCATGCTGCTCTGACACACTGTCATGCAGCATCACCGTGGGGAGTGACTGAGAAGGAAATGTCCTGCCCACGGGCTGACTGAGCTCATACGAACTCCTATGCGTGTGTGTATACCAACAGATTCACGACGATAACCCGCACGAGCTGCACTCACTCACCCACCAACTCCCGCCCGCACCCCCGGCACCCCTCCCTCACACCTCTCAGCTCCCATCGCCTGCGCAACAGCCCGGCCCCGGCCGCGCGGCTCTCCGCGCCTGCGCATAACGAGTGCGCCGGGTGTCGGACAGAGAAGTGGGCGTCGCGCAGGCGGGTAGGCCGCGGTCAGCCCAGCCTCCCGCGGGCTGGCGGCGGAGGAGCGGTGGCTCCGCGCAGGCGTACGCCGTGCCTCGTAGACCGGGAGCGGGTATCCGCCACTCCGAGCCAGGGCAGCAGGGCCGAGCGCCCCTCAATCCCGCCCGCCACTGCGCGGGAGCGTGACTGGTAGCCGGAGCCGCGCGGCGCAGGGCGAGCCGTTGCTCCGCCTCCTCCACTTTCTCCTCCTCTTCCTCCTCCTCCTCGCCTTCCTCCCTCTTTCTCTTCGCTTCCTATATTGGTTTCTCATTTCCTCTCCTTCGCTCCTCTCCCGCTTACTCTTGCGTGCTTGGCCCCGCTGCGCTGTGGGGGACACGGAGGCAGGAGCGTGGCCTGCCGCCGCCATGCAGATCACACTGAAAACGCTGCAGCAGCAGACCTTCCGCATCGACATCGACCCCGAGCAGACGGTGCGGGCCCGCGCAGGAGCGGGAAGCGGGAGTGGGGTGTGTGTGTTCCGTGCTCCGTCCCTTCCCGGCCTCTGGCCTGGCTGCCTGCTCTTTCGAGAGAGCGCCGCGGCTGAGGACTGAGGGGGCTCTGGCCCTGGGCCGGGGAGGACGGGCCCTCCTTTGGGGGAGGGGTGGGCAGTGAGTGCGGGGGGGAAGGGTGGCCGGAGCCTCTGAGGGCCTGGGGCCGGGGTTGCGTGTTTGGGGGTGTGGTGGATGCCCGGGAGGAGTTTGGGGGTGCGGGTTGTGCGCTGCTCCGTGGGGACGGGGAGCGGGGCGCCTCACCGGAGGGATGTGGAGCAGGCCCGTCGTGGGGGTCCTGTTTTCCTTGGAGTGCAGAGGGGTCTCCTGCTGGGGAAGGGCGGCTCCTCCTAGCTGGAGGAAAGAGGCTGTTGTGGCCGTACCCCCTGCGGATGGACTGACTGTCCTCGCTGGTTTTCTAAAAGAACGCCTAGAAGGTGGAAAGGAGAGCAGCTGACGCTGTGCTGCAGAGGAGCAGAGCGAGAGGGCTATAGGAAGCTGAAGTTTTTCCTTTTGGGAATATACATGACAACACCCATGGGTTAGTGGGCAATGGGGGAAAGTAATAATTTCTGCTAGTTTGTATTGGGAGTGGGTCATGACCTCTTGGGTGAAGCGGGGGGTAGTGCAGCAGAAGGGAAACTTGGTGGTAGCTCTCTGCTGATACCCGCCTGGGCAGGAAACGTGGGGAGAGTTGTAGGGTGCTTCCCCACGGGAGTGTGTACCGGAGAGGAGATCCTGAGCATCCAGAATGCATCCGTGTATGCTTAGATAATCGTACACTGTGTTTGATGGAGGTGGTTGATTGCAGGGAGGCTTTTTTGCTTTACCTACAGTGTGAGCCACGGTGATTAATCTGCACCTCCGAGGTGAGGGAGTGCATGTGAGATTCCACGAACCGCTTAGCATGAACGCAGGTGTCTCCTGCAGAGCAGGCATTTGGGTGAGTGGTGAGGTTTGTAATAGTCTTACTCTCCCTTACTGACAGGTTGCAGTAACTGTGTATCTCTTACAAGACTGGGAGTGGGGAAAGGGCAGGTTTTGATTGCAGGTGAATGTTTTCTGTCGGCCCACACGAGTCTGCTGAGAAATCCTGAGGGGGAAGTACAGGGTTCTGAGACAAGAAGGGCTTTAAGTGAGTTTGCAGGGCTGGAAGTTGCCTTGTCACTTGCCTGAGCACAGATGGTCGCCTTTGATAGCGAAGCCCAGGCATCCTTGTGGCTGCCTTCTGGAAGATTTGGGGACTTTGGCGTCTGAAGGTATGTCTGCAGCAGCTCTTCACATGATGTCTGGGCAGTGAAGCTCTGGAAACCATGGAACACTGCATCTGCTTTTACGAAGTCTGTTAGTTTACTCTCTTTCATCTTAAGAAAAATAAAGGGTGGCAGTTAAACTTGGACTCAGAGTTGGCTTGGTTGACTGGTATGGAAGAGACAGGTGGCATATGTCTCTTTAAGCAGATGTTGGAAACCTTCAAGAATTTAAGGTATTAGCCTACTTGTTCATGAGGGTTAGATCTCTTTCCCTCTTTTTTCCTGTTCTCTGTATTCAGTAAGGTCCTGAGAAATAAAGTCAGGAAGAGGACTTAGGACACATTGCCAGTCAAAACCCCCACCAGCTTATGAGACAGCAAAATGCACTAGCTAGGAGTTGACTGGCGGAAATTAGACTGCACACTCTGTAAGTGTAGTTTTTACAGTAGCTCAGTAACTGAAATGAATTATTTTCATGAGCATAAGGCTTCACGTTTTGGCTAGGGATGGGTGGTGAAACAGAGGAAAGAGAAGGGGTAGGATTTGAGGAGATCTTTTTTTTAAAGTGAGAGGGGTGAATCCTTCATCTTAGCTGTAAAGGTGTGGAGGTGAGAAATGTGTTCAACACTACCTACTTTTTAGAGAATCACAAAGGAGTTCTTATTGAAAGTGTTGAAAATCATGGAACTTAAAGTTTTGAGCCTCCAGTTAGAAACCAAATCTGTTAAAATGGGAAAAAGCTTCAAAATGTAATTGGTTAATCAGGTGTTTTGCAAGTGTGTGTTTGAAAGTTCTCAAATCTGATGTTGAAAAATACTAATTGTACTAAGTGCACTGATTTCTTAGATAATTTTCCAACACCTTGAAATAAATGTGTGAGAGCTGCGGAGGTAAGGAGAATTACTTCTACTCTTTGAAGTTTGTGTGTTTCTCTCCTAGAGGTAGGCTTGTTTACTTGGAGTTGTGCCCTATACTGTGACAAGGCCAAAAATCATCCAGTTGTGATAGGCCCAGGAATCTTGTTGCTCAGAAACTGGATTCTCGTTCTCTAAAATTGATTTCTGGTTCTAGCAATTTCTCCCCGTAGTCTCACTAAAAAAAAAGAAAATATCCAAAGAGACTTGATATTACAGTGCAAGGTAGTATTCTGACGACTGTTCATGCTTGTAACCGAAGGCTGTCATTAATAGCAAGGGATATTTAAACAAACCTTCCAGTGAGAATTTGAAGCAACACACTTCATAGTAACTAGGCTTGTTAAAGCTTTTGCACAGTTAGCTGATACATATTTTTTTTTTCCTGCTTAATTGGACAGTTGAATTTTTAAGTTCAAAATGGCTTTTTGTAATGTGACTTCAGTTTTAGTTTAGTTGTGTTTTAAAGTATTGGCCAACTGAGTATTTTAACTGAATAAAAATTAGACTTGAAGCATGGAGTATTCTTGTTCATGAAAGTGCTAGGTGAAGACTGTCAAATATTTTGACTACCTAAAAAAGTTGGAAAGATTTAGCCCCAGACCCTATTATTTGAGAAGGCTTATTAAATGCAAGAGTTTTTGCAGGCATGGATGTGGTGTGGTGTTTTTTTGGTGGTTTTTTTGTTTTGTGTTTTTTTTTTTTGTGGGTTTTGTTGTTTTTTTGTTTTTTTTTTGCTTTTTCTAACTTTTGGGGTAAATTTGTGGAGTGCATAGGAATTAAAGAACTGATTGTGCTCCTCAGAGAGGTGGACTTACCCATTGTAATCATTCTTATGTTCTGAGCGGGTCAGTTCTGTACTTGAAAATTCAGATTTAACCAGGGTAAATTAAAGCATGTTTTTATCTACGCAAGCTACTTTTTATGTGGTTTTCACTGTGAGAGAGTAAACACGTGAAATGTTGTGTTAGGAGCAAGAAATAAGCTCAGTCTGAAACTGATTCAGACCTGTGTAGGCACATCTGTTGTCTGAGATGACAGTGATGACACTGTAGGCTTCAAAATCTAGTGCTGCCGTTGTAGTTATCACTGTGTCGACATGAAATAGGCTTTTAAAAAATCTTAACATTCTTAACTTTCTTTAAAAATGAAATGCCGATTGAAAGTCTATTCTATTTCATTTTCAGCTTCCTTGTGCTGTTAACCTAAAACCCTGATGTCAAAATGCAGAGCATTGCGAGGAATATTCAGGATGCCTTTTGGCCACAGTCTCTATGGTGCATAATATGGGCTTTCATGTTTCACTGGTCTGCCACAATGTTTCAACACCCATGAAGTTCTGGCTTGTTTAACACCAAGTCAACAGGACAATTAGTTGTGAAAGTTTGTTCTTCCACAGAACTTCTGTATGTTCTGGTGCCTCTTTAACAAGTTTATGCTTTATTGCTAAATGTATTTGGGGATTTTTGGATGCTAATGTTATGGCCCTTTGTTGGATTTTAGGTTTAGAAATTTAGGCTAGATACTAACCAAAGCTGTATTAAATGTGTGAGAAGTGTGATCCAGCAAAAATGAAGCAGGATCCAAAGGGTATGTAATAAGGAGAAAAGTGAGTTTTGGCATATATTTAATTTTTCAAGGCAAAACAGGTATACTTGAGGGGAAAAAGATACTTTAATTTTTAAAAGACAATGTCATAGCGAAGAATTTGTATTTTCTGATTTTAGGGGGTATAAGAACATTTTGGCTTTTTAATGAGAATGAGGTGGTGCATACAGTGGCAGTATGTTTTGATACGTCCATGGGGGATGTCTAATAAAATGACAAGCTGCTTCAGTTCTTTTCAGAGAGTGCAGTTCTAAATTTCTGAATTACTTTAGACTATTGTCTGAATGCACAGACTATGATTTGTGAGTCCATATGAAAGCTAATGCTGTATGTGAACCCACAAAATTGTGGTAGTTGCATGTGTGCCTTCAGTATATTGAGTGCTATACTAAAGCATCTTATAAAAAAAAAAGGAAATGCATATTGAAAGCCTGTGTAATCTTAAACCATACTTTGCACCAATGCTTGTTCTATGTGGGGCTAGGAAGGATTCGTGGAAACAAATAATGGGCTGTTGTAAAATATATTTATCATACTTCTTAGAGCTGTCCTGGTAAACTGTGGGCTTCTGTTGGAAAACCATCTCCTGGTATAGTAGCATTAGTAAAGATTAAGTTAACAATTCAATATAAAATTGAAAGAATTTAAAACAATAGTACGTTTATCTCATAAGAAATTGATTTTTGTTTTTTCCATGTGATATAAGAAGATATAAAAGCAGTAGATTTAGTTTTGGTCATTTTAGTTCTGCTGAATGTATTATATTCAGTATATAGTATAGTGTATGTAGTGTATATATAGTATAGAGTATATAGTATATATATATATAGTATATAGTATTTTTCAGAAGAATTAACTTCAGAAACAGTTCTGCAAGAGCCAGAGAATATTATCGGGTGAAATGGTAAAATCTCACTTGGAGGCTTGTAACCTCTAAGCAAATACGAACTTATGCTTACGATCTCCTTTCTACGTGTGTTTCAGTGCAGCAGTTGCTAATTAGAGGATTGGTTTTGTAATTCTGAGAGTTTATAATCTTAATGGTTAGAGGCAAAGTGCTCCTATGATCCTGTTCAAGAATCCAGAGATACTCTTCTAGGTTAAAGATGTTCTTCTCAAGTCCTGATATTTTTCTCCCAGTTCTCCTTTGATTTTGCAGCAGGTATGTTTCTCATCTTCTAGAGGCAATTCTTTTGCATTTCTTAGGATTTTATTGTTGAGTGTATGTACTTGCACAGTCAGAGGAAGTGTGAATTTAAAGGGCACGTAGTTGCTGCTTGAGGTTTCATAGATGACTTTGCAAAAATTGTAGCTTTGGAGATTAGCAGAATGAGTTTTGGGGCACTTTTTATTTATTTATTTATTTATTTATTTTCACCACCAATATTTTTATGCATTCTTTGCAGACCATAGCATTTTCAAGTTATGCTCTTGATAATCCCTGTTTATTTTATTAACTGTTGGGTTGTTGGGTTTTGTCCCTTTTTTTTCCCTAGTGCTTTTCTTCAGTAACTAGTCTTTTTTCCTGCTTCCTGGCTAGTTAGAATTTTCAAGCAAGGGAAATTGTTCAGTTGTTTTAATTCTTGGCTGAAGAAGGGTAGGTTTTCACATGTTTAGGAATATTTCTCTGAAATTTTAGTGAGTGTTCTAATGTAATTTCCAAAGAACATCAGGGAGACTGGCACATATTATTAAAAATTTAATAAAGGAAAGGTTAAAGTAGCATAAATTAGGGATAGAACTGATTTTATTCATATTAGAATAGGTTTTCACATGTTATCCATTTTTTCAAATGCATTGGCTGTGTCCGTGATTTTGCAGTTATTTTCCCTGGAATGTTCTCATTCAGTTTAGCTGCCAGCAAGAAAAAGTAACCTTTGTACTTTTAATAATTTGTCAATATTATGTGTTGTATTTCTGAGCAATCCAGTCTTCTGAAGACCACCATTATTACCAAGGTGGCCAGTAAACTGAGAAGTTAAAATGGACACACTTACGGATAGCTCTGTACTTAATTGTGCCTTACATTTAATCTGTTTTGCAGGAACAATAGGTGAGCAAACATGCCCATCCTTTATGTGGATAACAGCGGGTTGGAAGTTCCTTTTGGAACTTACAGGGAGTAGAGAGTACGTGTTAATCAAAGAACAGCATGAGCAGATAACCTT